GCCAAGGTCCTGCTTGTTGGAGCCGGAGGTCTGGGATGTCCTGCTGCTGCATACCTCGCTGGTTCCGGGATTGGCACGATCGGTCTTGTTGATGGCGATGAGGTTGAAGTTTCGAATTTACACCGTCAAGTTGCGCATTCGACGGGTCGTGTAGGTATGAGCAAGGTTCAGAGTGCGATTACATATCTCAAAGAGTAAGACTCCATACTTATCCAAGAAGTCTCGACTAACATGCGAAGCCTGAATCCGACCATAACTTACAATGCGCACAACACTCATTTAACACCACAGAATGCCGAGGATATTGTATCGGGCTATGATTTAGTCCTTGATTGTACTGACCACCCTACATCCCGCTATCTCATTTCAGATATCTGCGTTCTTCTCTGCAAGCCCCTTGTCTCAGCATCTGCGTTCCAAACATCTGGCCAATTGATCATTCTGAATAACCCTCCTGGAAAAGGTCCCTGCTATCGCTGCATATTCCCTACGCCGCCGCCACCAGATAGCGTGGTTGGATGTGGTGAGGGCGGAATCATTGGACCTATCGTTGGCACGATGGGTGTCTTACAAGCTTTAGAGGCCATCAAGCTGATTTCGAGAGGTGATCTCGAGATCCATGGAGAGGCCAAGACACCGATGCTGTTACTTTTCAGTGGCATGGCTGATACCCCTTTCCGATCTGTGAGGATGAGGGGCAGAAGAAAGACTTGTTTGGCGTGTGGTGATGAGAACAGACTGACTTTGAGCGACTTGAAGAACTCAATGGACTATGTTCAGTTTTGTGGTGTCAAACAGCCTGTTCAGTTACTCCAACCGGATGAGCGAGTCACAGCAAAGGAGTATGAGGAGCTCGCCAAGTCAGAGAAAAAGGACATGCTGCTCGTGGATGTCCGAGAGAAGGAACATTTTGACCTCTGCAATATTTCAGGCTCGGTCAACATCCCTATCAGTCGCTTCATGAGCGCTCGTGGTGAAGCTACACCAGAAGGATGGCCAAGCGATCTGCCTCATTCGACCCCCATATATATCGTCTGCCGAGTCGGCAACGATTCGCAGATTGCCGCGCAAAAACTCAAAGACCTGGGACTAGGGAACAACGGAGATAGATTTATCGGCGATATTCTGGGTGGTATCAAGTCATGGAAGGACACCGTTGACCCATCTGTGCCTTTTATATAGACTGACAAAGAGACGCCGGCTCAAAGAGGAAATGGGGATAGTCGTATTGGATGAGAGATTTTATGATACATACATACAACATACAATGCCCGTGTTAACCCGAGCACACCAAGGACAGGCCATTCCTGCCCATCAGCTGCGCCATTACAAATAACATTTTGCTCAAAGTCAACAGAGACTCATGTGAGATATTTTTTCTTTTCTTTCTTTCTTTTACACAAAGTTGGCAGTCTTCTTTTTGTTGAATGCCTTTTGGTCTTTTAGCCATTGGCGATATCCAGAAACACTAGAGATCTTTTCGCCGTAGAAATCGGGAACTGTTCCGTAGTTAGCAACTTACTCGATCGGCACCTGAAGCTAGCGAGATGAAAAACTTACCAGGGTTGCTGGCGCTCGAGTTGGTGGGGTCAACCCGATGCTGCTTGATGCGCTCAAAGAACTGAGCCTCTTTCTGCGTCATCTGCTTCTTCCACTGACGATTCAAGAGGTAAAAGACCTGGTTTCCAACACTAGGGCCGCTCAACCACCCAAGACCCGAGAACGCGAGCGTCATAAGTCCCAGCGTCATAAACGGATCGAGAGGGATTTGCGAGATGATCGGTTCCGCCAGACCCGTCGAGAGAAAAACGGCGCCCGCACCACCGGTGAAGAGTCCATTGGTGATAGAGAACAAGAGCTGGTATCGTCGGCGCGAAACTCGCAGCTTGAAGAAGCTGTTCCAGTCGAGCGGAGGGAGTTCGGTGGTGGACTGCGGCTTATCGGCGTAGGTGCGAGAGAAGGTCTTTGCGACGACGGGTGTGAAGCATTGAGGTCGGAACGGCGATGCTGAGAGACATGATGCTGGACGCAGAGTTGAGAATGAAGCTTTTTGTGATGAGCGCACGAGACCTGTCAACGGCATGCGCAAGACGGAGGTCTTGAGCGGAGAAGCCATGGTGAAATGAAATTGATGGTGTAGCCAATTGAGTTTTGAGAGGGAAAAAAAGTCAATTAGAGGTTTGGAGTGGAGATTGGAAGATGTCGTTGTGCCGTCGGTTATTGGGCGTGACGTGGGGATGCTGAAGCTCGGGTAGAGCTGTGTTCGTGATCTCATGGTGGATGGAAAACTTTGGCGCTTGGTTAGGCGCGGCTAAGCGCTGCCGCCATTAGGACTCAATTACGGTAGGAAGGGGATAACCCACACCCCCCTAATAAGGGTTATATAGCTTTAAGTAAGTTAAAAGTTAATTATCTTCTTCTTATTTGTCTTAGTATTTAGGCATAGAATTAAAAATATTAGCTACTAAATTAATAAAGACTTTTTAAAATAATTAAATAATTAAAACAATTTCAAGTTTCCTTTATTTATTTAATTAAAATACAACCTATAGGTCTTTATATGCTGTGTTAGGCTTTGTTGATCTTGTCATTGGCTTAGTCATCAGGTAGCAGCTCTTTCTTAGGCCTGGTGCCAGCCTCTTACAATACATGCCGCGTTTTAGAACAGCTCATGGAACAGATTTATTCTTACGAACACGCCGACGACACAGATAAAAAATCTCCTTTACTTAATCTGCCTCAGTTTATTTCTTGATCTATGAGTTCTACCCACCCAATCGCGTTGGCGACTCTTCCGATATAATCCTGCTAGAACTGGCGTCGCTGGTCGCGGGACTCGCGTCGGCGCACCAGCGATGGAGTCCTTCCAACAGCAGCTCGAGCCAGACGAGTCGGAAAAACGAAAAACGAAGGAACAAAAGAGATCTCGGATCGAAGTACGTCTTCGCTCTAAACCAAGAGATTATGTCCCTGGAAGTGGCCCTCCACTGCAGCCTATAAGCTTGCTACCACCCCAAGACTCGACCGCGTACATATTGGAGCGAATCATTCTTCCCTCGCCGGGACTTGCTGCAGATGGACACCCTCTACCGAGACGTATGGCATATATCGTGTCATGGACGGACCTACCGGCGGCGCAGATGTTGGTTCCTGCAATGGATATTCTGGAATACGTATCGCCGAGGAAATTGGAAGAGTGGGAATTCAAAAATACGGAAGAACAGCTTGAAGAAGAAACGGCGGAGAAAAGGAAGACAGAAGCTGGACAGGTGGCACAGCAAAAGAGGCGTGGTAGACCACCCAAGCACAGTACGATAGAAACGGCTGTTGTTGCGGTAGTAGAAGACGACGAGGCTGTTCCAATGAAGGGGGCCATGACGATCAAGACCCCTACAAAGAACAGGCTGAAGGACTTTGAAGGACTGTCGGATGAAGAGGGTCCCGCGAGACAGTTGCAGTGGGAAATAACTGGTGATTCGGCTGAGACGTCGGATCAGGCATTGGATGAGCATAGAGGGACTGTTGAGGACTCAGAAAGTGCTTTCAGTGGCACTAAGATGGATCTGTTGCATGTTTCAGCAGCTGATTCCCATGTCCCAAAGAAAAGTCATAACAAGGGCAAACACTTCGAGTCGTTCCCGTCAACAGGGACCTCGAGCCGGCAAAGTACGCCCCAGATCACGAGCATACGCTCCAAGTCTGAAGGCAAAAAGAAACTTAGTCGTCCTTCAAAGAAAGCACGACCTTCTAACGGACTACTGAGTGGCGTTCAGGGTACAGGCTCCGCCTCAGACTGGACTCCCCAAGAGTCACTCACCTGCTCTAACTCGGGGGTTGAGACACCAGATCCAGAGTCAGAAACCCAAACAGCACGACTCATCGAAGAAGCTATGTCGGTTCAGAAGAAACCTCCAAAGTCAAAATCCAAGCCCAAAAGCAGCATCCCCAAGTCTCCAGAACCAGTTCCTCAAAAAGACCCTAGCCAAGAAGCTGAAGAGGCAGATGAATCAGGCTGGGAGGTGAAGCGCCTCGAAGACATGGAACTCTACGATGTCGAAGGCCAAGGTCTAGTGCGCTACTTCCTGGTCCGCTGGGAAGGCGACTGGCCCCCTGACCAGAATCCCTCTTGGGAGCCAGAATCCAACCTCCCCAAAGATCTCATCAAAGCGTACCTCCGCAACGGCAAGCGGAAGCGCTCAGAAAAGCCGGTTACAAAACCAGCTTCTAAGCAGCCCTCCGTTGCACCGTCCTATGCACCGAAGAAGAAGTCTATGAAACAAACTACTTTATCATGGGGCGTTCCCGCAAAGCAGTTCAAGAGCGTCAGTGAAGCTTTCGCAGGGGGAGAGGAAGACGAACTCGGAATGCCCGTCGCTCCAGATCCACGTAAGGAGGATGATGACGATGATGAGCTTTTCGTCGTGGAGGAACCTCCTGCGAAGAAGAGGGCTAAGAACTTGGGTGCGAATGGATGGGGAGTAAATGATTATAGATGAAGGGAAAAACAACAAAGTCAGGTTGGCTACGGAGTTGGAGATGGCTTTCGGGCAAGGATTCTTATCATTACGGGCGAAGGCGTAATTACTTTTCAAAAGCAGACGGTCACGGCGGACATGCATAGCATTAGAGATACCCATTTTGTGTCAAATGACTTTTTTTTTACATTGAACTACCTAAAAGTACCGTAAACTACCGTTGATCCATTGACCGATTCCTCAGGGCGCCAAAAAGATGTCATACAAATCCCTCCCGTCCGTTATAGCAATGCCCTTGATTAAATGTTCCTCGTTCATATTGCATTGACCTTGCCCCCCCCAAAAAAGACATTGTGGAAATAAACGCAAGCCTTGCTTGCTGTCGTCGTTACCATGTTGGCCGATGACTGCACTGTTCGTGGTGTTCAGTGTTCGTATCACTGAACGTTGTTGGGTGTTCATGGGAACACTGCTGATCCGTAGATAACCAGCTTGCGCAATATCGCGACTTGTTGTTGTGTAGATTTACTTTCGCTCGGCCTCAGCGGTCGAGACTACCTTGCGGGACTTGGGGTTCAAGTAGGCTTTGATTTGGCTGGGGATTGTAGTGAGCCTCTCAGGGTTCCATGACGACGGGAATCCAAACTTCTTGTTTATATTCCGTCGGACATTGGCAACACGCCCATACTCGGCATACTTGGGCAGATAGGGAAGCTCGTTGGCTTCACAGTAGTGCTTCCAGAAAGGAGCCCAGTTGATCTTGAGGACATTCTCCTGCTTGAGTTTCGTGATATCCATGGAGTCAAGCTTGGTGTAGATGTCGCCGTCGACCTCTCGAGAATAGATCTGGCCCTTAACGATGATGTATTTGATGTTCGCATCCACGAAGTTGAAAGTGATGTTGGTCATTTGGATGTCTCGGAGCAGGGGAGACGTCTTGTCATCGCGGACGAGGATGTGAGGAACGACACTTCTTCCTGGGTATTGAGACGGAGACTGCAACATCTCCACATTCGACGGGGTGCTTGAAGCCTCCGCGTTCATCGACGAGGTACGTGACGCCTCCTCATTCACGGACGGAGTGTGAGGCACATCTACGGTCATTGACGGGGTGCGCGACACTACCTCCACGTTCATCGACGAGGTACGGCTGGTAACCGCACGTCGGGGAATGTGTGCGCCATAGGGGAAGTTCGAAGAAGGGGTAAAGAGGTTGAAAGGTTGCACATTCCATGCATCAGAGAGATGCTTGGGAGAGATGTGCGCGATAGTGTTGGAAACGGAACTGGTGAGCTCCTCGACGTCGCGGTCAGAAGGAGTCGGCCCAAAGCCCATCTTGGTAGCAGGGCCATGGTACGGCATGAAGACTTGGTTGAGGATCATGTAACAGAGACGACCAGCCTCAAAGACACTGGAGAACTCAACTGACAGCTTGCCGTTCATCTGGTTATCGTTGGGGTAGAAGAAAGCACGGATGATGTACTTTGTTCCAAATCGAGTAAAGAGGTACCAAATGGCAGAGGTAGGAAAGTTCTCAAGAGTGATACAACGACCAGAGAGCTCGCTGTGATAGCCGACACCATATTGAAGGGGGTGTCCATGGCGGGAGTCGTAAGACGAAGTGGAGTTGATAAGCTTGACTTCAATATCGTAGAAGCGCCCGGTGCTGTCAACAAGCTCAAGCCCGTTGGCCTTGATGTTGGCGACGTATTTCTTAGCAGCGGCGGAGTCGCGAAACTCCACGCAGGCCATCTTAAAAGCAGTGCCACTGTTGACGAGATTGTCCATGATGGAAATTCTGATCAGACCTCCGACACCACAGACCGCATTGGCAACCTGAGTGAGAGTGGTGCCTTGAGGAATCTTGTTCAAGAGCACACGGCGGGAGTCGGCGGTGCCGTTAGGGTCGAAAACTGACTGAACGTTGATCATGTACATTTCGTCGTCAGAACGAACCCAGACGGTCTCGCTCTGGTTATCGACGGGGGACTCCTGGCCATCAGATGCAACGACTTGGTTGGTTGTGGATGTATCATTGTTGCCGCCATCGGCAGCAGGGTCAACCTCAAGGCGGGCCGCGAATTGAGACTCCAGTTCGGATGAATCATCAGCAAGGGAATTGGGGGGATCCTATTCCCCCGGTCCGTTGCTGGATTCGTCCGATCCTTCATCATCAGACGAAGCCTCGTCGTCACCCTGTGTTTAAACATTAATCATCTGATTCAATAAGTGACATGAAATACTTACATCGCCGGACGAGGAGTCACCCTGAGCTTCGCTCATCTGACGCAGTGCGATGTTGCTTTGCTCCAGGTCGGCTTCAACTCGACCAAGCTCTTCCATCTTCGCGAGGACCTGGGTTGGGGTAAGGCTACCGTCGGTGGAGCCAATAATTTCGTCCTAAGAGGTGAAAGCGTTAACATGAGATGATAAGTATGTTTGACTGGGGATGACTTACTCGAAGCTCGTCATAACGAACGCGGTTGGCCTTGTTCTCCTCCTTGAGTTTGATCAGATCTGCACGAGCCTGCTCTCGAGCCTCTTGCTGGCTCATCAGTTCCTCTGATGTGAGGTCGGGGAAGTTGACAGGGTCGGATAGATAGTCAAGCTGGGTTTCGAAGCTGGCAAGCTTCGAGTGGATCATGTCGTCTCGCTCCTCGAAAGCCCGGTTCACTTCTTCGCTGTCAGCCGACAGAGCAAGGCTCATATCATCAGAAGGATGGGAGTCCAAGTCTCCGAAGGCGGCGCCAACTCCGTTGAAGTCGGAGGAGCCAGAAGACTGTTCATCGGAACGGAAAGACAGAAAGTCCCAACTGCCCTGCTCGGAGGTAGGACCTCGATCGCCGTTGAAGGTGGGAGAAGACATTGTTATGTCGACGATGGGTAGTTAAAAGGAAAAGGAGAAGAGACAGAAAGTTGGAGATGAGGTATACAGGAAGGGGGATGTTTGGGTATGGGGATACTTCTCAAGAAGAGAATAGAATGAGGATGGTTAGATACTTGTGATATTCTTGTACGACACGGTTAAAGTGAAGATGTTGTAATGCAAACTTTGTTTTGTGTAAAGAGATGTTGTCAAGAGACGCGGAAGAGTGATGTGAGAGGAGATGTTGTTGTGGAGGGGGAGAAAAGAGGAGAGCAAGATATACGCGAGAGGGGCAGAAGATGCAGCCTACGACGCGTCAAGCCCTAGCCTATAGGAGAGCAGAATCAACAAAAGGCAGACGGTCCGGTGACCAGGTAACGGCCAGTCAAGCTGCCAGTGGTGCTCAGGAGTAGGGCACTGAGTATTTACTCCGGGGACAGGAATTTCTTTCTTGTGGGAAAGGGATAGGGCATTGTAGGAGTCAAGGACTTGAGGCACTGCAGAGGAATTGGTCTTAGCAGCGGAGGGGCTCAGGAGAAGTTGGAGGAGCGGCAGTGCAGTGGGACAAAAGCATTAGAAGCTATCGAGACATGAATCACCTTGATGCCGAACAGTTATCCTGTTCATACATCCACAAGAAAGCAGCAAGGCCAATGTTCAAGTTCAAATTCCTATGTTGTTCATGAGCACATATCGCCATGACACTCGACCCAAGATTTAAATGTAGATAATATAATCGTAATCCCAATATTGTCGGAGGTAGATATTAATGACAAGATGTCCAGTGCCAACTTTCACTTACTCTTCTCCAGCCCAAGTGGTGTTGTTGCTTGGTGTTGCGGGTGGCCTGCATCCCATTCTGTCCCGCCCCTCCACTGATGAAACTATTCGGGCCCCCACTAGTCTCCCAGAAGTCATCACGATATCGCCATCTTGTTGTTTTTGTTCATCCATATTGTATTTCGTCCAGTACATCGAAATTTCATCCACTGGCACACAGTCATGGAACTCAGAACTCGAGGGATGCATATCCCCTTGATCGTCCAGAGTATTAGCTTCCTCACTGAGGAAGCAGTGCATCTTGGGGCATGCTAACCTTGTGTCGTTGCGCAGTGTCACCACCATGAATTCATGGTGTTTTCCACACTTCGACCCCGAACCCGTAAAGCAAAGAGACGATGTGCATCGGCCATCTGCGAGACTCATCCCCATCCCTCTCGATCATACCGGCGGCGGCGGTGTCTTGCCAACGGGCATACGAGACACCGGTCAAAGACGAGGAGGCACTCCGTCAATGACGCAGCGACCTGGGAGCGGCCTCATCGGCGAGACAAGAGCAAGAAGCACGACAGCAGCATGGCCTTGATAGTCATCGGAGCATACTGACAGATCAACAGGCCTTCACTCGAAGACACGACACTTAAAGACACGACGCCCGAAGTCCATAGCGCGACAGAGGAACGCACATACACAGGATCACATATTCGAAGACTCGATCTGCTTCTACTCCTTATTCTTGCACTCGCTTTCATATCAGTCAGACCACTTGTCTTGACTGCGATGGGATCTGCCAAGCATCGACGCTCCTTGATCCATACAAAGGTTCCTCCTATTACCGTACATACAAGCTGTCACTGACCAGACTTGGTCATGTTACAGGAGAACACGCACGAGTATCCCTAAAAGCGCTGGCTTTGCGGAGAAGACACGACGTACGAAGAGACCGCGAAAGAAGAGACCGTAAACCAACGATTCATCGAGATTCGAGACGCATTGAGATCCAATACAAGGCACATAAGCACAAAGGGAGGACAGGGAACAAGGGATTGGCGCTACAGTTGACAAAGAACTCAGCGAACAATTGGAAGTTGGCCATCAAAGAAAGGAGTCTTTGGAAGGAGATTGATGAGCAATGGACATCAATTGGCCTCGCCACCCGACGATACGACCGCAGAACGAACACTCGGGCATTGGAGACAAGGAGAAGCAGATAAAGGGGCAAATGCTTCAAGACATGAAGTTGGAATACTTAGAAGAAACAAGGTTGCAACGGTCTCACGTGAAACGACATCTCGTTCCTGCTCTATCTCCATAAGCTCCACACTAAGACACCTTCGGGTACCTCTAAATTGACCCACTGTACGCAATAAGTAGATCCACTCAAGGTCATGTCCTCATACAGTCACGTATGATAGTAGGTACTAAGTTAGTAGAAGCTACTTGACTCTTGGTTCCCCTGGATTTAGAGACTTTACTTTCTCAATGACTTGAGAAAATGGCCCCAAATGATCAAGGCCGAGGATCGTCTGGGCTTCTTGGGCGTCTTCCAGCCGAAGTACTCAACCAAGTACTCAGCCAACTGCACAACATCGACTTGAAAACTCTGCGCCAAACATGCACTTATATCAAAGACTCCACGCATCTTCGCCTTAACCGTCTCTTTCTCTCGCCCAATTTGCGCGATATAGAAGTCTTCAGGCTGTTGCAGATCACGAAACCTTTCGGCTCTATGTCACAGAGATCATCTACGACGATGCACGTTTTAATCCAGCCCACGAAATGGAGTGGCCCTCATGGTATGACGAAGAAAATGATATCGGTGAGGCCACTGGAGTTCCCGAATGGTATCGTCACGTCTACCGCCAGAATCGCGGGATGATCGGGTGGTATAAGCCACACTATAGCCAGGTTAAAGAGGCCTTTGAACATCCACTCAGCCCAGCAGAAGCATTCAATCATTTCAAGAGATTGTGGCAAGAACAACAAGAGACTATTGCCACAAACAGAGACGCCGATGCGTTGAAGTATGGGCTGCTACGTTTCCTCAATCTGAGAAGAATGGTAGTTAGTCCTGCAGCTCATGGAAAACCTGGACTGCCGTGGTATCTCACGCCTACTATCAGATCACTCCCACGGGGTCTCCTTTACCCTATTGAGCGTGGATGGCCTCTTGTAAAGACGCATTCCAACTTTCCCGAAGCGAGGGATTGGGGTCGCTCGGAGAAGGATAAATGGCGCGGCTATTGTCTCGTCAGTCGCATCGTCGCCCAACACCTACGGGAGAAGCCAGAGAGTAAACTTGCCGCCTTGGCAATTGACACCAACCAGCTTCGGACAGGAATCAGTTGTCGTATATTCGATGACGCCGAGAACAGCGAGATCGAAGACCTGAAGACCATCCTAAGTCATCCTGGGTTCACGGGCCTTGACCTCTCCCTACACTGCGGTAACCAGTGTAACATGAACTGGTGCTCTTTTCGAAGTAACCATTTGCGGAATACACTTGCCATGGCGAGAGATATCCAACATTTCAGCCTACTCACTAATGTTGTTTATGTTGACGACTTCTATGACTCTGACGACTCTGATGGGGAGGAAGTAGACCACTTTGTCCCTTTGCAAAGCATCTTCCCTGTCAACGACTGGCATCAACTTCGACATTTCGGCCTTTGTCAATTCATCGTCAAAAAAGACAACGTCATACAATTTCTTGGAGCTTTACCCCCAACCCTGGAGTCTGTTGAGCTGAGCTTCTTGATCTTCATGCCCGATAGTGGCGACTATCACAGCTTGGTGCACGACATGCGCGAGAAGCTAGGCTGGCGCGAGCGGGACGCAGAAAACCAGCCCAAGATAGTTGTTCGTGTTGACGTCCGAGTTTCGAGGGTTCATGGCGCTGTGATGATGGATGTTAGCAGGGAGGTGACCAGTTTCATGTATCAAGACGGTGAGAACCCATTTGAAGAAGATGAGGGATGTGTTGAGGATCCCTATATTCGTCAGAGTGATACACTTGAAGGTAATGGGAGGCTCTTGGATGCATTTGAGCCCGGTTTTGAGGAACCTAATGTTAGCAGGCTTGCTATAGAGAAATCAGAGGAGGGTCTACGACTAAGAGAGACGGGAGAGGGATGATGGATGGCCCATACATTAGCTCCCGGGTGAGTCAAGCGGCCAGTTTTAGCACCCTTGCCCCCCGCAAAAGTCCCCTGCTAAGCTCCCAGGACATGGGTTGTAGATGTCAATTACAGGGGTATTCAGAGACAACGACATGTTGGACCAACACAGATGATGAGAATTAGGGCTGCAGAACCAATGATTTTTTGACTAGTCACATTTGCCTCTCATGTATAAATTCTGATCAGTTCATACTATTCGGCGATTTCCAAATTGTGCCCTGTTCGATGTGGATAGACTTCCTTGTCTAGCTCAGCCTCCAGGCATCCAAAGCTCCAAGCTTCAGCCGCATGCAACCAGTAGGTACAGCCCTCCAAGCCTACATTTCAGAGGATGAATCACTGTAAAAAAAGGTTCCCGTCTCCTTCAGAAACAAACCTAAGAGGGAGTATCTGACTCACTGACCGATTTCTGCCACTCAGCTCAGTCCTAACCCAAACATAAAACGACACACGCAAAAGTTACATTCTGGTATCTTACCTTATATAAGATCACACCTCTTCTTACCTCCACGTTCTTTTCTTTTCATCTCTTCTACAACTGGCTTCCGCTTGGCATCAAACATCATGGCGTCTTCATCGGAATCAGATCTGCCTTGGTTTCTCAAGTCATCCTCCCCCGTTCTCTTCCCCTTCGACGATGCCCTGAGACTGCCACAGGCTGAGTTTGAAGAATGTATTCGTCAGATGATCGCCGGTCGACACAAGCCATCTCTCTTGCACGATCAGCGTGAGGCTCATTTTGCTGCCATGGCTGACGCTGACGCTGATGAGTCCGAGACCTTCACTCTCGTCTCCGACTCGACCTCTGCCGAAATCCGTCACGCCATGAAGGCTGCCAAACTTTCGAACCATGCATCTCAAGACACTGACACTATGCGAGGGTCTTCTCCTACCCAGGAGATGGAAGTGGAAGAAGCCCAGCCTGTCCAGTCCAACCCTTTCATGGAGGGCCTCATCAACTACGACAACGAGAAGCCATCTCGGAACCTCGAAAACATGCTGTTCACAGAGAACGGCGATCTCGCTTATCGATCCAGTCAGGACGCCCTTGTTGATCTCTTCCAGGAACTCGAGGAAGTCGTCTCTGGTCCTCGCCTGAAGGATCTCCTTACCCGAGCCTGGGATGAGAACCCCCTTGCTACTCTCAGAATCATCTTCAACGCTCGCTCCATCCATCTGGGCAAGAGCTCTCGTACTGTATTCTACCGCTGTACCGGTTGGTTGGCACAGAACCACCCTTTGACCCTCGTCGCCAACCTCTGCTGGCTGAGCCGCCCGGTCATCAACAAGAAGGCCGAGAAGAAGGAAGACGATGACCTTGTTCTCGTTGAGGAAGAGAACGATGACGACTCTGCCAAGTTCGACGTGAAGAATGGAGTGGCCCATGGCTACTGGAAGGATATGCTTAATATCCTGGCCATTGCAGCTAACGACAAGCTTACTGTCATCGATGATCCCAAGGAGGTCCTCAACACCCAGAACCCTGGCATTCTCCGCGGCAAGAGCATCAAGAAGCCTCTTCATCGCGACGGCCGCAGACTCCGGGGATCTCATCATGAGGTCATGATAGGTGGAAGAGGTCGCGGTCGCGGTCGTGGCCGAGGCCGTGGCCAAGGATCTCACTCAACTAGACAGGAGATGAGAGAGCAGACTCGCGAGGTCGACCCCAAGGAACTCAGACGAGAAACCAGAGAGAACCGCCATGAGACCGCCCGGGTCCTCTTTGAGACCGACCCTATCTACCGCGCTCTACATCTCACCATTGCTCGGCTGTTCGCGGAACAGCTGAAAAGGGACATCCTAGCCCTCCAAGGAGACGAAAAGGCCAAGCGCTCTATCTCGCTGTGCGGCAAATGGGCACCTTCTTCCGATCACTTCCACGACAGACACACCTTCATCGTCAGCACCATCGCCGAGATCCTGTACCCCCGAGCGTCCATCTACCACCCGATGCTGAGCCCAAGAGACGACCACGAGAAGTATCTTCGATTCGCCCGTGAGCAGTACCGCAAGGATACATCTGCCCTTCGAAAGCAGCTCGATATCGTCGAGCGAGACATCACCGACAAGAAGTACGAAAACATCAAGTACGACCGAGTTCCCTCCCTCGCTATGAACCAGTACTCTAAGCTGTTCATCGAGAACGATGCCGAGCGCTTCGGTAAGTACCTTGACAAGGTTGCTGAAGGGAAGGTCAACATCTCTGGAGCTACTCTTCTCCCCTCTACATTGATCCGAAAGGTTCGAATGGGCAGTTCGGCTGGTCGAACCGGGGCCAACTCGCTTCTTGACCAGAAGGTCGCGCAGATTGAGGCCAAGGTACTTGATGGCCAGTGGAACACTCTCGTCAAGAGAATCAAGGACTCGGGCACAATGGACTCCTGCATCGCGGTCTGTGATGTATCTGGCAGCATGAACAGTCCTGTCTTCAGAGATGAGACCACGCCCCTTGATTCCGCCATCGGCCTGTCTCTCCTCCTCGCAGAGGTCGCCAAGCCCCCTTTCGCCGGCACCTTCATCACCTTCAGCGAGCACCCCAGAGTCGAGGAAGTCGACTTGACCAAGACTCTGAGGGAGAAGTACTGGGCCATGCACAGATCGGACTGGAGCATGAGCACCAACTTCGTCTCTGTCTTTGAGGACTTGATTCTCCCCATGGCAATCGAGAACAAGCTCAAGCAGGAGGATATGATCAAGCGTGTCTTTGTCTTCAGCGACATGCAGTTCAACCAAGCGAGCAACTCCAACTCCCACTACTACCGGAAGTGGGATTCCAAGGGACCCTCAAGCTCAAACTGGTCTACCTCCTTCGAACGCATCAAGGCCAAGTTCGAAGAGGCGGGTTACGAACTCCCCGAGCTTGTCTTCTGGAACCTCGCAGGCGGACGAGCAGGCTACACCGGAAGCGGTGGTGACCCAACGGCGCCCAAACCCGTCGAGGCTGATGAGGATGGAACATGCCTCGTCAGCGGATACTCGCAGGGCTTGCTGAAGGTATTTTTGGAGGGAGGTGGTTTTGAGGAGGAGGAGGAAGAGGAGGTTGTTGACGAGAAGGACGACAAGGGTAACGTCACCCAGAAGACGAAGAAGGTGAAGATGACGCCTCTCAAGATCGTGCAGAAGGTGATAAGCCACAAGGCGTACGAGATGTTGAAGGTGGTGGACTAGGGGGAGTAATGAGTTATGAAAACGATACCCAGAATGACACGCATAGTCATTGTATGATAGTTCATCAGTCGCAAGCACGACTTTAGTTAAAGGAGTTAAATTACATTGTATTTTAGTATTTCCTTTCGTGTGAGTGATAAGTGAGGCGTGATATGTCAGTGCGATATAGAGATCTTCATAGCACAATTTGCAGTTGAGGCCTGTGGCTCGGAGCTTAGATCCCAGACAGAACTTACCTTCGCAGGCGAGGAGTCTAAATAGTGACTTTGAAATATAACAATGTATGCTCCTTTGATCCCAGAGAGAGCTTTCCAATATCATAGTCAATACAGGCTGGTTAGGCGCTGTCTTAGGCCCTGCTTAGCTTAGGTGGGAAGATGCTGGCGATGATAGACTTGATAATACTTTTATCAAGACTTGGGGAGAAGGTTATCAGTTGTGCTTACTTTGAACTTACAGTTTTGTAAAATACACCGACTGAAATATTTTTAGACCTTTTATTGTAACAAATCTATATCCTATTGATCTAAAGGTAAAGAGTAAAACATGTCTATGAATAGTAGTGCCTAAAAAGACATATTGAGTTGAGATTTATAGACAGTATTTGGCCTACCCTAAGCTCCAGTAGTCGGCAATGATTCTATATTAACCTCGTAATCGCTTGGATTATATAGACTTTTTACCATTTACAGATTTTACACTCATTTCAAATAACTCTGATAAAGTGACGGATTTTGCTCCGAAGGCCTTGGCAGAACCTGATCATCAACGAACGCCCATTAACTAATGCCCGTTGAGTTGGCTAACATCTTCGAAGCTGGTTGTCTTTGCGGAATGATTCAAAACCGGAACTCATCCACACAATGAGGCTATTAGACTAGCTATCGGAGATTGCCCAATTCAGCTTCCCGAGATTTAGTTGATAGTACGGAGTAGCGCGAGAGATAACCGCGAATAAAGGCGTAGTGCATTAGTCTCGTGCTACAAAGATATCGAAAGATAGGACAACAGATATCAACATAAATGCTAACAAGGGATAGTGGCTATACATTCCGATTCGTAGAGAAACGATATACGGGCGCTTATGCTCATGGATTCGCCTTGCGAAACCGCGTGACCAAAAGCTTGGGCGGTATCACTGATGTACATAGATTTCGCGAGAATATGGTGCAAGATATAGTGGAACTGGGAGGAGGTGATCACTCAATGGCACGATAGCTTGTCTAAAGCTTCAGGTATTGGAAAGTGATAGGTTATCTCGTAAATGTGGTTCAGAGATAGAGTTGTGAGAGGTTACAACGCTGAGTTGGGGATGGCTGATAACTCACATCTCATCACATCACCCCTTATTCACAAAGTTCTACATACCTTTCTCCACCAATGTCTTGGCCATCTTCTGCATTTCAATCAAAGGGGTAATCGAACATTTCCCATGATCCAACAAATCGAATGAGCCCCATTTGCGAGTTGGGTCATGCGTTCTTTTCAGAGTTTCTTGGCAATTTTATGTACCAACACTCACCGAGTTTGCACTGACCTTGAGTCTCGAGAAAAAAGGTCCAGCTCGGAAGACATACGCGAAGAGAATCCTTCATAGTTCTACAAAAGTCGGATGTTTGAAGAGGATAATGCGGGATATATCTCGACTATTCAAGCACGTTCATGTTCTGCATCGCCGAATTACGGCCGTTTATAGGGTCCGTTCACAGAGTCAGCTGGTGTTTCACAAATTCTCATACAAAGTGCAATGCTCCATATGCTACCATCTCCGCCATTCTGGGTACCTGAACGCGGAGTTGGGAATGAGGAGTCCCCAGATGATCTCTCACTGCGTCCGTGGGGGATTTGATGCGTCCATTCGCCCGGGGAAGACAAGAAAAATAGGGGTACTGAGATATTTTGACAAGTATACATGCTGGAAAAGGGCCGTTTAGTTCGGTGCAAGATGGACTGTCCGTTCTCCAGCGACAGGCATGAAGCTCCGAGTAAACGGCCGGCTCTCCACGGCTCCGGGTGGGTCCTGGAGGAGTCTTCCGAAATGAAAACGCGGGTCCGGAGGAGAGAGTTTGGGGGTGCCTATTTCACGGGCTGGGGGACTGTAGGCGAGGTCACGTTGGAGAGAAGAGAATTACAACGAGCTGAAAGAGTTTTTTTTTTGGTTAGTAGTTAGTGCTGGGTTTGGAAAAGATGGAAGTGATATGCCGGTACTTGGTGTCAGAGCCAAGGAATCGTTTCGATGACCCACTGGACTTGGCGATGAATGCAACTTGAGCCAAGGATAGGCGAGTAGAGAGTGATTGTGATTGTGATTGTGATTGTGAGTGACTGTGGGTGAGTGAGTATGGGGATACGATGGCTGGAGTTGACGTTGGAGATTCTCCGCAAGAACAACCCCAGAATTCGCTACACAATCAAGGTTTTTTCTCCAACGTCTGTCTCTTCTGTCACAGTGTAGGGAACGTGTCGTGAAATGTGTAACGCGCACTGATCGTCGGGTCGTAGTCCAAGTCGCACCGAGAACGATGCCGTAAGCCCAGAGACTGACCAATGCCCTCCCTCCAAAATGGGGCTGGCACCCATGGCGGTTTAAGCTTACCTTGCGGTGCCTTGGACGCTACGTCATAGGCCCAAACTCTACTACATAACAACACCAAGAAAATTAGAGAGCAGCATCCACTGTAAGTACCTAAATTCTCGCCAGGTTTCGGGGGTGGTACCCCATGCCAAGGGGTTATTCGCATCCACATTCTTCCAGAAATCCAATCATTGATGATCCACTTCACACTGACTCGTTACCCCCCAGGGCCCGTTGCTTGCTCGCCTTGTTGCGGTTCAGGTTCAGGTTCAGGTTCTGAGGCCAGCAGAGATGGAGAGAGAGGAGAGAGATACTGGAGAAACCCCAGATGATGAAGGATTAGAGCAACGCCACTGACATCGGCCCTTTATCGTCAAACCTCGTTAGAGACTAATAAGCAACATGGACCTCTCCACGCTCTGTTTGTCTGCAATGCCATGCCATGCGCATCTCTAGTTAGTGAGTCTTGGGGTGCTGTAAGTGTGAGGTGATCTGCACCTGTCTCTGCCTCTGTCTCTTCAGAGAAACGGGCCTTGGCTTGGCTTGACTTCAACTTCCCCATGACGACTGCCAAGTTTAGTAAATGATGCTCGCCCCCATCTCGTTTCGTCTTCTCCATCATCATCATCATCCATCGCGGAACGGAAAGACATGCCCTGTCCTGTCGGGACCCCCGACTGTTGACCTGTACTGCACCTAATAGTCTTATGGGGCAGGCAGGGCCGTTTGTGTTTTTCTTTTTCTCTTGTATAACCCAGGTCTTGGTCTGGGTCTTGGTATCTGAAGAATAAAAGACCTCGTCTTCCCTCCTTTTTTTCTGTGCCTTTTGGAAATAGACCTTTATTCTAGCTTTATTTACTGTATTTCCTTTTCTCATTACAACTGCGACGCAGTCGTACACCATTATAACCATGCTTGGTCATAGGTATGTCTACTATCCTCCCTCTATACCCAGCTTCGACCTCAGCTAACACCCTCAGGTCTATCAAGGTCAATGGCGCCGACTGCGGCATCGAGGCCATCCTCTTGGGCGTCATCACGTCCATCGGTGGATTCCTTTTCGGTTACGATACGGGGCAGATTAGTTCTATGCTCCTCTTCAAAGACTTTATCCTACGCTTCGCAACCGGTTACGACGACGATAAAATGGAAAAGAAATTTGAGCCCATCATTCAATCGACCATGGTCAGTCTCATGAGTATCGGAAGTTTGATCGGTGCTTTATCTGGTGCCTAGTACGTCTCCTTGACCCTCGCGCGACCTAATACAACAAGTAACTGACATTACTTCAGCACATCTGATTGGTGGGGTCGCCGCAAGAGCATGACCTTCGGAGTCGCCTTGTTCATCATTGGTAATGTCATTCAGATCACGGCGATGTATTCGTGGGTTCATATGATGATTGGTCGATTCGTTGCTGGTCTTGGTGTTGGTAACCTTTCCGTCGGTGTTCCCATGTTCCAGTCCGAATGCGCCCCTCGCGAAATCCGTGGTGCCGTCGTTGCATCCTACCAACTCATGATCACAATCGGTATCCTGGTTTCCAATATTGTTTGTCTTGGTCTTAAGAACATCGATCACCAGGACGCATCCTGGAGAATCGTCATTGGCCTCGGCATCGGCTTCTCTCTACCTCTCGGTCTGGGTATCCTGGTTGTCCCCGAGTCTCCTCGATGGCTCGCTTCCAAGGGCGACTGGGAGGGTGCTCAGATCTCACTCGGACGTCTTCGCGGCATGAAGGGTAACCTTGAAAATCCCCTCGTCCAGGACGATCTGAGAGAAATGCGAGGCATCCTTGAGAAGGAGAAGCAAGTCGGCCAGGGAGGCTGGCTCGAGTGCTTCGATCCTAGGAGCTCGGTTCCCAAGCTTCTCTGGCGTACTCTCCTCGGCTTTTTTATCCACTTTCTTCAGCAGTGGACCGGTGTCAACTACTTCTTCTACTACGGAGCCACCATCTTCAAGTCTGCAGGAATTGAGGACCCTATCCAGACGCAGCTCATCTTGGGCGCTGTCAATGTTGCCACTACCTTCGCGGGTCTCTGGTTCGTTGAGAGATTTGGACGTCGTTGGCCTCTGTTCATCGGTGCCATCTGGCAAGCTGCTTGGTTATGTGTCTTTGCCTCAATCGGTACAGCTATCAACCCCGTGGGCAACAGCACCGTCGGTATCGTTCTTATTGTCTGTGCGTGCATGTTTATCGCGTCTTTCGCCAGTACCTGGGGTCCCATGGCTTGGGTCGTCATAGGAGAGACCTTCCCTCTGCGTACTCGTGCGAAGCAAGCCTCTATCGCTACTGCCGGTAACTGGCTTGGCAATTGTAAGTAACACCTCTTTCCTGGTGAGATACTCTTCTCTAACAACTTTAACAGTCATGATTGCTTTCCTCTCTCCCATCGCAACCGATGCCATCAGCTATGCTTTCGGGTTCGTCCTCGTTGCAGCCAACATAGCCGCCGCTCTTCTCGTCTGGTTCTTCCTCTTCGAATCTCGAAAACTCTCTTTGGAGAATGTCGATCTCATGTATGGCCAGAAGGGTCTTAATCCCTGGAATAGTTATAGATGGGTTCCACCTGGATACATCACTCGTGACCAGAGAGACGAGGCCGCCTTCCATGGAAATGACAAGGGTAGAAATAGCGAGTCTCACTCTGGAGAGGATTCCCGGGTTGAGCAGATTGATGTTTAACGTAAAGAAGGGCTACATGAGACTTATTTGTGTAAGCACTGGATGCATACGCGGCGTTCGTGATGGTTTTGTCACTGTATAGTTATCATACGGTTTTGGCTAGTCTGGCTTAAGATATGTGATCAATTATCATTATTCTTTTTATCTAAACTGTTTTGCAAAATGTGATGAGTATCATGAAACGATTAAAAGCTTCGAAACAACCATTGTAACCTTGTAAATGCACTCCCATCCGTGTATACTCAGAAGTCATTCACTACGCCAACATTGTTTCTCCAAGCAGATGTCTTCTCCCACTGCTTCATAATTTTGGTACCATCGACGACTGGCCCCGACCACGTTATCTCTGCTCTAGCTTGGACTATATTGTACTGGAATAAGCATTGCGGGTCACTGTCGCTCCTGATTTTGAACGTTTGAAGCTTGGGCATCTTTCGTGCTGCTCTCGCTGCGCAGCAGAGCAATCGTTCTATACTTCGTCGACAATGCGACTGGAATAAATTTGTGGACAGTGTAAGTGTCTTGAGATGGGGCCAGATTGTCATTGCGTTCAAGTCCGCATCACATTTGAAGAGAATAAAGATATGGAGAAAGTCTGTGGCATCGATGATGTCCACTACAGACATGTGCTCTAGGTTCTTGGAGTATTGGCGGAGCCGTTTGCCCAATACATCTCTCAGTTTGACATCGCATGAAGTCCAATCATGGAACGCCGTGGATTTCTGGCCGTTGATGGACAGTGTCTTGACTGAGGCTGGGAGATACTCGGCAAAAGCTTTAGCGGCATATCGGGTCCAATCTGTCTCTTGGTCGGCGCCAACTGAGGCCCATCGATGGGTCGTGATATCTTCGAGGTTCACGAAGCTTTTGAACATCAGACTCATAGTCTCCGGAGAAATTCGACGGAACTGGGTGTTGCGGATCAGAAACTTGGAAACAATAGGGACGCGAGGGAGTATGGCGTCCTCCTCTTTGAAGTATGGCCTTTCGCTTGCGCGGTTTGCCGTGGTGAGTTCAATGTCCTTCCAACCTATGAGGTCTCGCTGCTCGGCGTTCCACTCAGCCCGTAACCTCCAGCCCGCGTTAGGCAAACCTAATATGTTATAATGTCTAACGTAGGGTGCATGAGGATTGTCGTAATGGTAAGGTCCTCTTGACTCTGACTCCTTGTGGGCCTTGTATGCGTCGAAATCCCGTTCAAAGATACGATCTTGCCGCATTTTACTAGACCAATCATCATATGCGAATACACTTAGCTCAAGGGTGATTCTATTCTCTGAGTTCCATAAAGAGATGATGTCCCAGAGTCCAAGCAGAGACCAAGTAAACACCCTATCTGCACGGAATGTTACTTTGGGCTTCTCGACCCTCTTGATTGTGGTTCTATTCCTAGGATTGGAATTGGGAAGACATATTCGATACCATATGTGCTTGACGAAACCTTGGCGTCGTGGTACCAGGTATCGTCTGAGGCCGCTCAGGTCATCTTTGGCGATAGCTAACGACCTGAAATTCTTGCGCTCGAAGAAATCCTGCCATGACTTGCAGACCACGGCGTAGGGGGCGGTTGAGGGTTCTCGGGAGACGTATTGGAGGATCATGTCCTGGATCTCGGGCGGGAGGGAGTGGAAACGAGGAGGCATGGTGTACTATTGAAAGGGATATCTTGATGCTGACAATGCTAGGGAGGATCGCGAGAGTATAGAACAGGGTCTTTGAACTGACAGTAAGTGTTCTAGTATAATAGTTGGAGTATGTAGTGGCTCCTAAGACTTGGAACAAGGAATTTATATTTGTAGCATAAGTTTGAAGTGATTTGCAATGGGTGCTTGAACTGAAGTATGCATAAGAGATATATGAAAATGAAGGCATGTAGTTGTTTAAATGTTCATCCTGGAACACCTAGACGCCATTGAGATTTCGGTAGTGGGAAATGTTTTGAAAGAATAGGTAGAGTGAACAATGGCATGCGAACAAGGGGTCGGCGTGGTGAACAGGTGGACTGAGCGGCAGAACACAATGACGGTAAAAGAACTCTTTGAACAAGATGTCAAAGAAGTGAGTGTCAAAGAGCATCGTTCATTGTGTGCTAGTACTTTGTGAAAAGGGAGCTATGTTTATTCTCCCCTATTGTGATGTCTTTGGTGGGATTATGAATGGGACGAAGGAGATGCAGCATGACTGTGAAATTGTCAACGAGGTATCTCCAGGAACAGTACGGAAAACTCAAGATCATCAAAGGACTATAATTCATGCACTTATCTTGTTGGCCTCCTTGACATCTACTAGATATATTGAGAAAGGAGTGTTCACGCTGTATAATGCGACATTGACACTCGCTTCCCAAAGACAATCACTGCACTATCCAGTCCAAAAGAATACAATCATAGGCTCTCCTAGGCTAGCACCCAGCTGTTTTGCAAGTCAACGGAGTCTAGCTGTTATTGTTGCCCTCCGCCTGAGGCACCGACCTTCTTCGCTCTGCATCAACTTGCCAGTGCCCCGCCTCCCTCCATCTCGCATCCATCTTCCTTCTCCTCAACCTGACTCTCCCTCATCACAAAAAGTCTACAAATATTGCAAAGATTCTCAGAAAACCTTGCGCTTGCCCTTCATTATTCAAGGTAAGTGATAGAATCCTCAGCCAGGAGAAAAGACTTTTGAAAAAAGAAGTCTGGCGATACTACTTGACGCCTATGGTAAATTCCTGAACGATTGCTTACTCTTTCGTCTTTATCCTACAGGCCATCTTTTAATTTTCTGAACCAGCCTCCTAGAGCTGTCTCGGCTATTGCCAGTTCTTCCCTTTACCATAAATCCCCTCTTTCCTTTGATACACCTTTCTCTCCCTCTCCTCCTCTCCTTTCTCATTGCCCTGCTCGTCAGAATGTGCGACCACCAGACCACATATGTGGACTGCAGCCCTGCGGCAGTAAACTTAGGATTCGTACGGCCACCTCCCGAAGAGAGGACACTCGCCATGTCTAAGACTGGTAGACTAGCAAGGGCATACCTAGCCAAGGAAGACGGTGCATTTGATGAGCACGTATTCCCAGCACCCCTGGTCCTACCTGGTGACCACCTCGCCGAGAATCCAATGGAGCAGGGTCAGTCCAGCAAGGACTGGTTCGCCTTGGAGACTACCCAAAAGCGCTGCCAGGAAATATCAAGCAAGCAGAAAGTCTTCGTGTACGGCCCACCGAGCGTCAAGCTTCTGCCCGTCGAAATGCGAAGTTGGGCCCAGCCTGTCCTCCCTCAAGGCTTCCCCCAAGGCCCTGAGAGATGGACATGGCTTTTGAAGATGAAAAACCAACTGGTCGCTTACCTCCGCGCCTTCTTCACGACGATGCAAGTCACCCAGTACTCCGGCACTGCGGACTTTTTACCCATCCAAGGACGGAAGCGAGTGCACTTTGCGGACACTCCGCCACGATCAGTGGTTGGTTTTATACTCAGAGACGATCGCTACACTTTTGAAATTCGACACCGCCCATCGCCAGACGGGTTGTCAAGGATGCAGCTTAACGTTTCTGACTTGAGGACTGCTCTCGTACGAATCAAAGTCCCCCCCGCTCACTCGGTGGTGCTCGTGGTGAACCATGATCTCTACGACGAGGATGAGGAGGCGTACCTAACAGACCGATTCTGGGCAGCCGACGGAATTGCGATCGTGTCGACATTTCGCTACAACCCTTCGTTGGATGGGCTAGCTGGCGTCGACCGATTGCACAGGTGGCCATCGAGCCACTGCAAGGCCTACGTTGATGCAAGATGCCAAGTACTAGACGAGAACAAAGACTCGGTGACTCGAAACCACCTCGCCTTCAAGGCTTTTGGGCAACCGCCCGGTGACTCTGCACTTAGTCTTGCGATCCAAGCCGCCAACCAAGCTGGTCAGCCTTCTTCAATGGAGGATCTCTCAAACCTATGGTTCGCACGGGTTCTCGTTGCTGTGTCTCGGGAAACTGCCCATTGCTTCGGGCTGCAAAACTGTACTTACTACGCCTGCCTCATGCAGGGTGTAAGGGGGCCTCGTCAGGCGGGCGAGATACCCCCTTACCTCTGTTCCGTTTGCCATTCGAAGCTCGCGTCCGAATTGGTCCTTATTCAGCCTATGTCCAAACGCGGGATTGAAAGGGAGAAGGCCTGGCTTGGTGAGCATTACGCTGAACTGAATGCGTTTTGCAATAAGTGGAACAAGATTCCGCAATTCGCCGCCTTCGAGGCATGGCTGGGAAAGAGACTTGAGGATCGGAAGGGTGATGGTGGTGTCGGTGAATCAGCTGGGCCTTCAAACTAGGAGGCGCCGGCTGCCCGCACCACCAGATGAGATGAGGTCGATATCCTGGAGAGGTCCGTTCTGACTCAGCCGTCTACACTACACTAGCTAACTACTGTTGCTAACTAGGATCCCTCGACCTATCCCTCCATCTCATCTACACTTGAAGAAAATCTACCCGACGTCCTCCATCCCCTCAAGGGTGCCGGTGGTGCCGGTGATCAGCTGGGCCTCCAAACAAGGAGGCGCCGGCTGCCCGGGCCACCAGATGAGATGAGGTCGATATCCTGGAGAGGTTCGTTCTGACTGACCCCGTCTATGCTACACTAGCTAACCACTATTGCTAAGGATCCCTCAACCTATCCCTCCATCTCATCTACACTTGAAGAAAATCTGCCCGACTCTGCGGCTTACAGGACCGTTTCGCACAGCTAAGTCGTCTGCAAAGGATTTGACCCAGCAACAGCTGCGGCTACCACGCAGCCTGAAGCGGTGCAGCCAGTCCCAGGCGACCTAAGAAAAGGTGCCAAAAACGGGTTCTTCTATTTTAATAAACAACACAAACCTTCAAACCAGTCTCAACCAGGCTCGGCCGCCAAAAACGGATTCTTCTATTTCAATAAACAATCCAAACCTTCAAACTGGTCTCAACCGCATGCTCACCACCACAAACATGCCGAGACGAGAAGCCCAGGTATTGTCGAGGGGAATCGATGATTCACTGAATTCTGCAATTCACCAAGGTCTCTTGTACCTGAAAGGCAGGCGGTTGAGACGGGTTGTTCTATTTTAATAAGCAATCCAAACCTTCAAACCAGTCTCAACCGCCTGCTCACCACCGTAAACAAACGGAGATGGGAGCCCAGGCATTGTCGAGGGGCAGTGACGGATCCATGAATTCTGCAATTCACATTATGTACATTAGCGATATTCAAAGGAAAAAAACCCATATACTCCCGGGAATAACAACGAACCCATTGATCAACACAATTCTATCCCTGCCCCCGAACATCCTCAATCAAAAGTCCTTTTGTCCCAACTTCCTCATCGGGAACACTTTTAGCACCCGTTATCTTGAACCGGGTCCGGCCTCGGCTTCGGCGCCGATGTCGTGCTACCTACCGACTCCATCACCATGTCTTTATTCCCCGCCCGTTTCACCTTACAAATCCTCCCTCGACATCTCCAATTCTGCACCAAATACCTTCAAAATGGTGCGCAAGTCTCTCGCGGTCTTGGCAACTGTAGCTGGAGCTTCAGGTTTCAGTCTCGGACCTTTCGGAGCTCAAAAGCCAATTGGTCAGAATGAGCATGACTTTAAGTGCGATCTGCCGCCTGTGCTCTCACCTGGAAACGATGGTCTCCCCTCAGCGAATGAACTGTTCGACACGAAAGATGCTTTTAATAAGCAGGTGAAGCGTCACCAAGCAATTGTGCGCGTTCCGTCAATTTGCTATGACGATCTTGGTGATGTTGACAAAGACGAACGATGGGCGCCTTTCTATGATTTACATGATGTCCTGGCAAAGACGTACCCAGCCATGTAAGCCACCGAACTCAATTCACAGACATTTACTGACCAGTTTTATCAGACATAAATATGCAAAACTGGAGAAGATTAACAAGTTTGGTCTTGTTTACACATTTACCGGAAGCGACTCTTCGCTCAAGCCTTATCTTCTCGCAGCTCATCAAGATGTTGTTCCTGTACCTGATCCATCGACATGGACGCATCCTCCCTTCGACGCTTACTTTGACGGGGAGTGGCTTTGGGGACGCGGAGCATCTGATGATAAGAACAGTCTTACAGCTCTCATGTCAGCGATTGAGGCGTTGCTCACTGAGACGAAATGGCAGCCTAAGCGTACTGTCATTTTGGCGTTTGGGTTCGATGAGGAGTGCTCGGGTCCTCGAGGCGCTGCTAAGATTGGCGAGTTCTTGACAAAGAGATATGGCGACAATGGTATTCCGTTCATCTTGGACGAGGGCGGTTCTGGGATTCAGCTCATTGACGATACTCTTTACGTTCTTCCCTCGGTGCAGGAAAAGGGCGCTATAGACATCTGGGCTGAACTTCGTGTTAAAGGCGGTCACAGTTCTATTCCCCATCCTCACACTGGCATCGGTATCATGGCTGAGATCATCTCTGCTCTCGAGTCCAAGCCTTATGAACCTGCTATTCTCAAGGGAAGTCCTGTCTACAACCATCTTGTCTGCCTGGCACGCCACTCTCCAGACTCACACCCCAAACTCCATGACCTTCTCAAGAAAAATGATCTGGAGAAGCTAAAGGATGAACTCATCCATCTTGATCCCATGGCCAAATTCACTATTCAAACAACACAGGCCGTTGATATTATTCGCGGCGGGCAGAAGATCAACGCTATGCCAGAAGTTGTGAACCTAGGTGTCAATTACCGTGTTGCGCCTCAAGACAGTCTCGACAAGGTACAGGAGCAGTTTGTCAAGAACATTGACGCCGTTATTCAAAAATACAACCTCACTCTGAGCGCCTACGAGGATAATGCAGAGTCTCAGAAGAAATCTGGATTCGACTACGACGGCCATCTCAAACTTACAGCGATTCGCAACTCAGTCACAACACCCGTATCACCTACCAGCGGCCCAATCTGGGATATCTTCTCTGGCACAATCCAGCATAGCTTTGCTTTCGACGGCGGCAAGGTCGTACCTGTTGGCGAAATCATGACCGGCAACACTGATACGAGACATTACCTGAGTAAGTGCATCGTTACACAAAGCGAGGGAATAGGATATGCTAATAGTTTGTAGACTTGTCGCCAAACATTTACCGCTGGACACCGAGTCGACAGCGCGGATCCGAAAACATCCACACGGTCGATGAGAGGATCAGGATTGAGTCGCACATGGACATTGTCAAGTTTTACTACGATTTGATCCGCAACTTTGATACAGCTGATTTCTAGACCCGTCCCTCAAACCATAGAATCACAGTTTAACTACAGATATAAACTCAATGGCATGATCTCGCTCATCAATGGCCCGAAATCCACCGACAACATACGCTTTTCTTGACCGTCTCAACTTAGCTTCAGCCCCGAGGGCCTCGTAGACCCCCACGCTTCTCCACACGAACGCATCAGGCACTTTGTGATGTAGCCATTCTCCACATTCTCCTCTTTGCAAGTGTTGGCTACGCTACCTTACACTATGTATTTTCTGGGTTCATCTTATGACCTGTTCATGTTGTTCCTCCTCATGGACGGAATTGCTTGTGATTCTTGGCGTGAGTGCGTCCTCACTGCCTGTCCAGTTGGTCTGCATGTATATCAGTGGTTCTAAGCTTGTACTGTACAAATACCTGATTTGATTCTAACTTGCATGCCTGCAGTAGGTACACTACCAAGGTACAGACTTCGGGCTCCCTCCGAGGCCTTCAACACCATTACAAACTCAGCTTCTCTTACTTGCTCCTTCACAGCGTCTTCTCCACATCCAGATCCAACTGCGGGGTTCCCCACGATTGACAATCCCCATCTAAGCCTCTGCCTGTCTCTCTCTCCCTCTCGGCAAACACATCCAGCATAGACTGTCCTGTACCTACTGAACATCCGACACCTCGTGTAAGCATCATCACCCCAAAGCGGCAATGTCCAGCGTGCTCCTCACCGTCTTTCACTCCCCATTGGCTACGCATAATCGACCACGAGACACATCTTTTTCCTCACCGGCTTCTGCTGCACAGGAGTGGGATTATTAACAAAGAAATATGGCCACTTTGCGGGGAATGGTAGTTTCCATGGGGTAATCAGGCATCTGATGGATGGATGGATGCACTGTAGGTATATTCTTCAAGCATTAATTGGTATTTGATTTATGTACAGAGAAATTATTGCTACAGAACAGCCTGATATGATCGATGGCTGTGTAGGTAGTGTATGCCCAACGCCACATCACCATCTCCGTGCTTTGCTTCGAAATAAGAGGTATCGTCATCATCAACGTCGTCACTGCCCAATGCAACCTGCTTTTGTCCCCCCGAACCAAAAACATGCTTTTCTTGCCTTTCTTTCTTTCTATCAAAGGGCAACTTCAAGATCCATCACCTCTTGGAACCCTTGTGCAATAGTATCGAGATCCTTCTGAGATGGCGCCACGCAAGGTCGTCGAGGTTCACCCCCGTACCCGGAAAAGTGTCCCAGTGCTGCCTTTACACCAACGAATCCAGTCTTGATCGCCGTCCAGTCAGCCTTGGCCACTTTGGCTTGCAGCTGACGGGCTTCTTTCCAGTTTCCTTCTTCTGCGAGCTCTGTGATGCGGACGCATGCCTTGGGGCAGAGGTTGGCGAGGCCTGAGATGGTGCCGTTGGCTCCTACGGCGTGGCCTTGCAGGATGAAGTCTGCGCTGCCGCCTCCGACCCAGAATCCCTCGGGGCAGTCAGCTGCGATGCGGGCGAGCTTTCCGGTGTTGCCGCATGTGAGCTTGACGCCTACGACGTTGGGATGCTTGGCGATGCTGAGGATCGTGTCGGATGAGAGGTCTCGACCAGCTGCGGCGCCGGGGAAGTTATACACCAGAAGAGGAATTGGGCTCTTGTCTGCAACGGCGTAGTAGTGCTGGATGACTAGATCATCGGGGAGAAGTCCGCCGTAGTAGCTTGGAGGTAGGACCAAGGCGTGTGTAGCACCAGCCTTGCCGGCGTCTTCACACAGTTCTGTTGTCTCCCTTGTGCTCTGGGCACCGCAACCTGCGATGAGAGGAACACGAGTACCGCTTCCCTCGTGGAAGATGGTATCTCTGGCAACGCGGATGATGGTGGTTCGTTCTGAGGGAGAGAGGTGGGCACATTCTCCGTTGGAGCCGTGGACAACAATACCAGCTACTCCTGACTCGAGAAGCTTGATGATGTGTTTCTCAGTAGCTGAAGCATCGACCTCGTCCTCGGGAGTGAAGAACGCAAGGGTAGGGACGTATACGCCATCGCCGAGGCGCAGTTGAGAAGCCTTGGGAGAGCCCATGGTGGGAGATTCAAGCAGTGTCGAAGGCATATGGTACGATATAAGTGTAAAGTATATAAGTGCAAGCAGTCTCTATACAAGTAAAGAACAAGAAAAGCAGTGAGAAGAATGATGAAGAGGCATTGCTCAAAGAGGCTGGCGTCAGCTGCTCTTTTATGTCTAACCAAGGACTAGGTATAATAAGAGTGGCGTCCTCGTCATGAGGTAGCCCATTGCCTAGGCTCAGGCTCAGGCTCAGGCTCAGGCTCAGGCACTTGAGTTCGAGAGAGGCATGGTTCGAAAAGCGTGGGGGTTAGGTCCGGATCCCTGGGTACGTGGTGAAAAGGCGGGGGAGAGACACGACAAAAGACATCCGCTGAGCTCCGGCCGAGAGACTCCGGGCCGAACCGGTGACCTCACGCGAGTCAAGAGACACGAAGTGATCGTGGGGGTCTACATTGCAGGTTTCTGCAGCAATTGAGGGTTTCAATGGATGGACACAGGGGGCATTTGAGAAGGGGAGAGCACTTACACGGAGAGTTACACAAACGCCACCTTTATGAAATGGAAGCAAAGATGTCGAGCATATTGTAAAGGCTGCCATCCATCACAAGAGACCACAAACAGACAACAAAACAGCGATCATCCTCGCAAAAGCAGGTACCGTCCGTTCACAAGTCGCCTGACTATTCTAACCCCCACGTCCAGCCTGTCCAATAGCACCCGTCAATTGCGGTGTAACACTCAGAGAGGAATGCTGAAGAGAGCGTGGGGGAGCAACAGAGCTGAGAGAAGAGACAACGCTAGAAGACATCTTGGGAATTGGGCGTTTTGATTGATGGAATATCCGTGAGGGGGGGAGGGCGTGATCTGATCTGATTGCGGGTTGGGGAGAGAGAGAGCGCAACGGGCCACTGCAGGCCATATTCCTCACGTGCATTTGACGTGGGGGGATGATTCTGTGTTTCTTGTCGATGTTTTATGCTGTTTTTGTGTGAATCTGATCTTCGAATGATGGATGCTGCATAGTATTGGAGATCTATTTATATCTTGTTTATTCCCGGATGTACGCGGAGTTGGTGGAGTGAGTACGCAGTGAGTGGCATTACTGACTGCCGATGCTGGTTCGTGACCCTCATGAATCACATACATTTGCCGAGATACACTAGAAATGAAGGTTTCTTATCATTTTATTCAAGAAAACACTCGAATATTGTGATTGGTACCTTTGAAACATGGCTTTCGATAGTCAGACAAGTACTACATACGACCTCTTGCGGATTTTAATAAATCCGTATTCAGGGGAAATCGGCATTGCTTTTTGTTAGGTACCTTACTTACCAGCCAACCTTTGTTATAGCAACGAGGCTGTCCACATCTCAACAAACAGCCCATCAACATCGACATCAATACCAAATATCAACAGAACCAAAAAATTGAAGCAAAATACAATCAAAATGCTCTCCCCAGCTTATATGAGCATCTACCAACAGTACAAAGCCGACACAGACTCTGTAGCAACATGGCTGGCCAACACTGCTAAAGCCCACGGCTACGACGCTGAGTCTTCACTTGGAGGAGCCGCTGCTGATGCTGCCAAGAAAAAGAAGAAGAAGTAGGGAAATGGAAACGGCAAAGGTCCTAGTAGAGCTAAGAACAAGAAGAAACAAGAGAAGCAGGACCCAAACACAAAGAAATACATCATCAGAGTTAAGGACTTTGAGGCTATGGCTAAACATGTTGCTGATACCAATGCCGTTGAAGTTCCTCACAAGACTGCTGTTGCTTTGGAGAGAGGCATATGGGGTATGTTGAACAGATTTGATTGTGTTGATTCCAGTGATACTGATGATTTCATAGTTCGACGATCGTTCTCTCAGAAACTAGCAGACAGCGGTGCAAGAAGGGACCATCGCTCCGATGCTACTCACTCTCACTTCGTCGAGGTCCTTGAGAAAGTCCGTGGCTATCTCAAACCCATCATGGAAGCTGGTCTTTTCAAGCCAGAGGATCTCGACAAGAAGACGGATGTCAAGGCAAACCACCCCGCCAAGGGCATGTTTGACGTCCTCAACGTCTACACTCCTTCTGAGGAGTTCCTCAACGCCCCTGACATCACGCCTACTCCTGCTGCTGAGCTTGAGACTCAATACACCGTTGAGGAAGAAGTCACCTGGGAAGACGCCTTCTTCGCTTTCGCCACTCTCCTCCGCGACTATGACTATCTCAGCCAAGAGATCCATTCGCTCTGGGAGAAGTGGGCCAGTGGTGAACTTGATCTCGCCGCTGTAGCTTTAGCTACAAACACAGCGTTTGAGTTTGCCCACAGCATGGAGTTGGACATCAAAAAGTGGATAGACAAGTTCGGCGGCACAACTATCTTCGCGCACCAGTGCTTCGAGGCAGCTTGCGAGGGGATGGGAATCGACAAGAAAAGGATAAGCCCAGGCGCCATGTGTAACCTTGAGGCTTACGACGTGGCCAAGATCCTGAATCTAAACACCATGGGTGTTTTCAACAGCTACGTAAAACACAGCCGTGACGCTATCATGCCATCCTACAACGGCGCCTTCGGTTTTTACAACGAGAGGCTCGGTTCCGAGGGCAGAAATAACACTGAGAGGTGGAATCAGGACAAGACGGCCCTGTTTGAGATTTTCCCACATATGCACTTCCTTACCACGCCCCCTGGTCAGGGTGACGTAGAAGACGAGCTTATCCGCGGCATGGGCGCTGCACTCAAGACAAAGAGCGAAAGCAACCGTTTCTGGATATCATGGGCTCTTCAGATGTATCTTGACATTATTCAGCGTCTTGGACCGTATGTTGGGCGTGGGTTTGAGCAGTTTAAGCAGGAGAGTCTGAAGATTCAAAACGCTCTTGTCAATCTTCCTCAGACGGCTGAGCGCAAGCAAGTCCTTCAAGTGGCGACGCGATGGAACCACGATCCTATCTTCGAGATGAGGCAGGCAAACATGGAGTACGGCATGTTGGCTCACGATAGTGAAGGTCCTTCTGAATTCCACTTCCTTCATCGGAACCCCATACATTGCGGTCTTTTGATCCATCACATGCGATCTATGCTGCATGTCAATGGTGTCAAGACTGTTGCGCCCAGCGGTGGTCTCATGACTACGACACAGCTCTATCAAGCCCTCCGACAAGAGGGTCGCATTCCGAAAGGTAAAGTATGGGAGGATCTTGAAGAGGTCTGGGAATATCAAGGGAATCCGTGCTTCTTCATTGGGAATCCACCACAGGATCTCGAGGGCTACTTCAAGAACTACTGCCTCTGCTCAGGCGTCTCGATCACCAACTGGGCAGCGAACAGGCGGAGCACGCGGCCTACTGGGCATAAAGGTAACGCGCCAAACATCAAGTTCGATGGCTGGGTGTCCCTGCGATTAGACGACCGTATCCATGTGGACAATCCACGTAAGCCCTGGACGACTGAAACTGTTGAAGAAATCTTGACGGAGGGGCGTAAGAGAGCAATGATGGACGGAAAGGGTCATATACAAGAGAATCTGAAGCAAAAGGCCAAGGAGGCCAATGTAAGTCCTGGCATTTCTACACAGCAGTCCTTTGCTAAAACATCCCAGCTCCCGGCAGTACCGAAATCCCCAAGTGGTCTCATCGAACAGCTGGCCCAAGTCGTCAACAGCGAGATCCCCCGTATTAGCTTCGACTACTTCACCATGCACCACATCGCCTGGTCCCTCCTCACCGATCTCAAGCGCGCCCTCACCGCCGAGGTCGGCCCCGGGTTCCTCGACTACATCCCCTCCGAGGACCAGCTCCCCATCGTGGTAGGCTACGTCTTCTCAACGGCCTCAGGGCACGGGAGCGCCGATGTCCGAGAGCGCGGCGTGGGCAGTGACAGGCTCCTCGATGTCGCAACCGACGTCGTTGCCGAGTTCCTAGAAATGGGCTACGGAAGCCTCCTTAAGAAGATGAGGAGGATGGAGGTGGGGCCGGAGGATGTTGAGGATGTCGAAGTTGATGGGTCAGAGCTATGGGGGCCGAGGAAGTTCAAAAAGGAGCAGATGGATCGGGATGGACACTTGGGGGGAAGGGCGAACAAAGCTGATATTGCGAGTCTTATGAGACTTTTGCAGATGGGGAGATGATGTTTTGAAAGATATGAGCTGAGGGAATAATTGGATGAGCCACTTTACGTATGGCGAATCTACTGCGGGTATGATATAAACAGGAGCAATGATATATGAGCAAATTGGTGTTCAGCAGACTACCCTTGGCATAACTTGCATGTGAATGGCCCAATGCTTGAATTCCTGAATACACTGGAGAAAAACGATAAGAAAATTTCTATGTTACAATACAAATACACGAACCTCAATGATCAAGCATTCAGCACATGTAAAGCTCAACTAGATACGTCCCCCAAGTCGAGTCTTCCACGCCAGATAACCAGCATATCCCACCACACCCGTCAACGCCAACCTCCCCACAGCCGCCAGTAAGTTCTGATTCGCCCTCTGCATGGTCTTCTTCTTCATAACCACGCTGTTCCTTCTAAACGTCTCACCATCATTGAGATGTGGAAATGGTGCCTCAACCATCTTTCCTGTCGTGGGGTCCTGAACTTCTGGTACGGGAACACCAAGATATTCGCACAGCGGTCCCCAGCCCTCTGTGATGGTATACTCGATATACCGATCCGCTGGAATTCTGTCGTGGAATTCTTGGTATTGCGCTTTGTACCATGCAATTGCCTTGTCCTTATCATTTCCGTGGTCGTATTTCTGAACCAGAGATCTCATCGATTTGCTATACTTGGCCATGTACTGCAAATTCGTATCAAGCAGAAAACAATAAATCATACTAAGTTTAGCCAAGAACCCCTTCGGTGTGGTTATCAAGTAGATACTATTGAGTACACTCTCATACCACTTCTCAGGGTCTCGATTCATGATAATGACTTTAGCTTCAGGGTACAGCTCCGCTAATTCAGGGCCAAAGAACGCAGCGGGCACATCACACACAGCTTGACAATCGCCGAGCAAGCGATCCCAGTCTGCGCGGGTAAAGGACCCCTTATCGGCATACTTTGCTTCCATGGCACGTACCCATTCAGGGGCGCGGGTGGGATTGTTGAAGAGAGTTTGCATGTGGTAGCAGTCATGGAAACCGAGCTGCCACAGAGCGTTACGAATACCTGTTGGTCTGTTTCAGCTCTCATTTTTTCGGGTAGTAGCCATTAGTAGATTACGCGCGTAATTGTTGAGAGGGGGGAGGCTTATCAACCCCCTGGGATAGTTAGACGTACTCAACGTTCCTGTGCGATGGACGCCACAGACGATGACGCGCATTGGCACGATGCGGTCAGGGATGGTGTACGTAGACGTTGACATTGTGAAGTTGTTTTCGCGAGATGACGATGTTTCGAAACTTTCAATGGTTGATGCAGGGAGATTATTGATGCCCAGATCTTCAAGGGTAACAAGAGTGATCCGTAAAGTGATGGCCTAACCTATTTCGCTTCGCGTCAAGTGAACGGCGCTTGGGCGTCTGTCTCGGTGAGGGTGACATTGACCTTGACCGAGGGAGGTGTAGACCCAATGAGACTGAAGCTTGTTTATTGGGGATGCTTATCATGGACTAACCGGGCTTGTAATATATACTAACCATGCGAGTGAGAACTCTACAAGAATAGAAACACGCTTATTGATGGTGAGGAAATTATTAGGAACAGGCAGACAATCAATCAGATTTGATATCGTGTCTGGCTAGGGGAGGAAAGAAAACACAGGACCTTAACCCTAAGCGATAAAAATATTCAGGCAAATCTAGCCTAAGTTTAGGGGGCTCTTTTCTAAGTTTATTTTAACACCCTATATCAAGGTCCGGTGTTTTCTTGCTCCCCGAGGTCTGGCTACGGATAGAGCTTTCTAGTCCTGTCCAAGCTTGGCTTTTTCTCTATCGGCGCTATGATCCGCTGATGGTGGATGCTCCGGACAAGCCGGTGGCCCGGTACAGTATCGGGTGGATCTCAAGATATGCTCCATTAATGGAGCAACATCAAGGTCTCAATAGGTTGGGACTTGGAGCCCAAAGAGCCTCTAAACTCTAACATGTGATTACATACCAGGAATGCCAAGTTATGGATCAGTGAGTGAGTGACTCGAGATATTGACTCACCACTCAACGACTGAACATTACGCGTCACAATACGAGCCCTCAGGCGATTATTATTGTGAGAGGACAAGAGAACTTCAAGTGACCGCCTCTGTCAGTATCTGCATCTGCACGTCAGTTCGCATGTCTATCACACCAATCAAGGAAACCAAGAGTGTCGATCAACTGCCAGCCCTGCATGGTCAACGTAGAAGGTGATTCTCTGGCCTTCTCTTCTTCAACAACCAAAAGATGGTGTGAACTAAAAATGAAACCATCTCGGGAATATTGTCAATAGTCAGAGACCAAGAGCCTCAATCCAATTCCAAATGTGCCTGCCTGCCTCCTCTAGCGCCCAACCGGCCCCCCTAACCGATCGCTGCAGGGCTCATCATCCCCTGAAGCACAGGGCACGTCAAGGTCTCAGCGGCCCGCACGTGGCGGTGGAAGAAGCCCGCTGGAAGCTCTCCCCGTCTAGGTAGCTCTGGCTCTGAGGTGTTCTATGTAATTGTATGTACCGGCAGCCCGGGTGCAGTCCTCAAGGCCCTTGCTTTGTTATCTCACGCCCTCCCCGAACGAGTAATCCGAGCGTTTGCTTCTTTTTTCATGATAACCAAGACACTTTATCCGGACCAATTGAAGGCCGAGGAGCAGACATGATGAGACAGGTCCAAGACGACAGGTCTGAAGCGAGGATTGGCCTGCGTGGGTTGAGCAAGGGGACAAGAAAAGAGAAGAAAGGTTTGCCTGATTCGAAGAGAATTCCAGTGTGTTAAGTATTTTTCATCATGTATGACGAGTGTTTTGACATCCAATGGGTGTCAGATAAGAAGCAATTTTCATGACTCGACGCAAAAACACCAAAGACGATATCGCCAGTACCAATACTAACTCAACAACATACCACGAATGCTATGACGAGCCCTTTATAGGCCCAGAAACCAAGGAACCAAGCACACCATCATCATCATATCCATCAACTTATATAGCATCATCATCGCAGAGTCAATCAGATCAGTGAACTAAACCTGGCATGTCCCTTCTCGGGCTTGTTCTCGGCGACCCACAGTCCTTATCACGCAAGTTTGCCGCCCCCGTAGCCACAACAAATTGTACACTACACTACATTACCTACAGAGAAAAAAACCTATACAGGCCCAGTTTTGTTTTTCTTGTTCTCGCCCCGGAGCGAGAGTATAGACACAGACACAATAAGTAGAATGTAAATCATGCCCCCCTTGATCGACAACATGATCAATCCTCCAAACTCAGTTTCGCCCTCGAGGGGCCCAGTCCTTTAAAACCAAAGAGCAACCTCGCTTTCCCCCCAATTTCCAGACCCGATATTTTTATCGTCAAACAAAACATTCATTCGTTAGTTATGCTATCTGAACAGAATGATAGTGGGAGTGGCAGCGGAGGCAGACCTAGTCAGGTACACACTCCCCTCCGCAGGGAAAAGAAGCGAGTAGGCTTCCACTCCAGCAAAGAATCCTCCGGAGATAGCAGCGACTCAACAACACGCCCACAACAAACACGACAGCAGCGCCAGGATGAAGGTGTCTTCTCACCAGCCGGATCGCCGAAACTAGCGCCTGGGGAATTACCGCCCAATGCACCAGATGCTTACGAACTAAGCCTTGCTCTCACAAAGATCCTGTCCGCCGAGCAGGACAAGAAACGACAGGTTCAGAATCTCGCACCAGATACTCCGGATGGAGGAGGACCAAAGAGACCACGGCCTGCGCTTAGGAGAAATACGAGCTATGATGATCCCAATGAGAGGGAGAAGGCGGACCAGGCGGAGTCGAGGACTACGGAGAGGCAGTATCGATCTATGGCTGATGCGAGACAGAGAGCTGATCGGTTAGCTGTTTCGGTGGGGAGTTACTCTGCCCCTGGATCACGACGAGGATCGCTTGATCTCGAGGAAGTTCCCTCGTTCAAGCCGTTGATTGAGGACTATGATAATCCTAAGATCTCGCCACCAGCTGGGTCAAACACCATTGGAGATGCAGAATATTTCGGTCTTCGACAGAGAATAGCAAACTCTGATCGCTTCCAGCATCACGCTGCGGCTGAGAATCTAGTCAGATCTCATTCCCGCAAGGGAAAACGGGATCTATTCACGCAGCTTCCCAACGGCGGACCGACATCTGGAACCGCTACACCCGTTCTTCAACAAGCTTACGCCCACGACTACGTCCCTCGGCCAGACCAATACCGCGGTGGTATTCTCTCCTCGCTGCTGAAGCTGTATCACGATGATAGAGCACCAGGTAGTGGTATGAACACGCCCAAGGATCCGGGTACACCACTAATGTCGCCGCGTAACTCACCACCTATATCCCGCCCTGGATCATCTAATGGAACGCCTCCTATCCGATCACCGCCTCGTTCACGACCGACGAGCGGGCTGTTCAACTACCACAAGAATAGACACTCAACATCGTCGCTGGCACTTACGGAGTTGATGAAGTCTTCGTCTATGTTTGCGGCGCCAGCGTCAGCGAATATCTCTGACAAGTGGGCTGAGAAGATAAAGCAACAACCACCGCCTCCCAAGAAGCGCGACAAGGCGAGGATTACTATTCATATTGCGGGTATTATCCAACGGCATCGGTACCTGCTCAAGTTGTGCAGGGCTCTTATGATGTATGGTGCGCCTACACATCGGTTGGAAGAGTACATGACCATGTCATCGCGTGTCCTCGAAATCGAAGCTCAGTTCTTGTACCTCCCTGGCTGTATGATCATAAGCTTTGATGATAGCACTACGCATACCACTGAGGTCAAGCTCGTTCGTGTACCACAGGGCATCGACCTCGGTCGTCTTCGAGACGTACACAACATTTACAAAGAAGTTGTCCATGACAAGATTGGCGTTGAGGAAGCGACGAAACGACTTGACGATGTCAACGCGCGAAAGGATAAATATAATGTCTGGATTCGAGTGTTCTTATACGGCGTCGCATCAGCTTGTGTTGCACCCTTCGCTTTCCAGGGCCGGTTCATCGACCTGCCTATTGCCTTCTTTCTCGGATGTATCGTTGGTATTCTTCAACTCGTCTTGGCACCCAGCAACGAATTGTACGCCCACGTCTTTGAGGTTTCTGCCGCTCTTATCACGTCCTTCTTCGCTCGAGCATTCGGTTCCATCCAAAACGGCCAGCTCTTCTGCTTCAGTGCACTAGCACAGAGCAGTATCGCCCTTATTCTCCCAGGGTACATGGTCCTCTGTAGTTCTCTCGAACTTCAAAGCCATAACCTCGTCGCCGGTAGTGTACGCATGGTGCACGCTCTCATCTACACTCTCTTCCTCGGATACGGCATCACAATCGGCGCTTCGCTCTACGGCATGATTGATAGCAACGCAACGAGTCGCTCGACCTGCGATAATCCTCTCGGACGGGAATGGTACTTCCTCTTCGTCCCTGGATTCACTATGTGTCTCTGTCTCATCAACCAAGCCAAGTGGAAGCAAACTCCCGTTATGGTCGGGATGGCTTTGGCTGGATGGTCGGTCAACAGTTACTGCTCCGAGTACTTTGGAGGAAACGGCCAAATATCCAACATGCTGGGTGCCCTGACGATCGGTATTCTTGCAAACTTGTACTCTCGAATGGGCCGACATGTAGAGAATGGATACCTCGACTTTATCGACTGGTGGAAGCTCCGGGTTCGACCACGATATACCAAGAAAAAAATCGACTCAGACTCGTGGTCCCTGCCAACCCTCGACGACCCCGAGTCTCGACCTGGGACACCAGAGAAACATCAAGAGCCAGAGAAGAAGCCCAGAAAGGTCGGCTACAGTCTCGCAGCTGCAGCTATGCTTCCAGCTATTTTCGTGCAGGTTCCCTCTGGTCTTGCAGCGGGCGGTTCTCTGTTGGCCAGTATCACTATGGCTGATGAGATTACCAAGAACGGAACAAAGACAGCATCTGACACGAGCACAATGGGCAATCTTGAAGGAACTGCGTTCAATGTCTTGTTGAAGGTCATCCAAGTTGCCATTGGTATCAGTGTCGGCTTGTTCATGAGTGCACTGATCGTCTACCCCCTGGGTAAGAGACGAAGTGGACTGTTCAGTTTCTAAGCTGAACACACATTCATTGTTATATTTCCTTATAGTCATAATATTAGAGCGTCGGTTGTTTCAGGATGGCTTATTACAGCCGATATACAAAAGTAACAAGGGAAATTTCTTGGAGTTATTGTTTTCTTTGTCTATACT